AATTCAATTGAGAATATTGGTCCATCCAATTGATTACCAATCAAAGTTTCCCTCTTTATTCCTGATATATGCCAAGCATGATGATTTGGAACATTGCCTGGAAGTGCTGTAGAAATGTCTAGAAACCTTGCTTTGCTATCCACAATTGCTTGCACAGGCATTTGTTTTAATATACCAATCCTTTAGATCCATATTTAATGGAAGCTTAATTGGGATATAAGTGTAATCTATAGCTCCAAGGCAATTTGGGAAGCCTCTCAACTCTTGAAGTGCATGTTTGATGTTCTATAATTCCCTTGGATCTATAGTCTAAGTAATTTGATGCACAGAATTGCTAAACTAAGCAATATAAAACTTTTTCAAACATTTATATGTAGTAAATGATGCCATCCCAAAACTATTGCTAATTGTTCGCCAATGATCATCTATCACCAACCTCTTCAAAGAAATTGCAATCTAGTTAAATATTGGAACAAGCCTCTGAAATGTTTTCAAAACTAGTTGAAGATAAAGTCTTCAAATCATCCCCTAGTAAGTCATAAAGTACATGAAAGTCCCCATACAGATGCGAAACACTTCTTAGAATCGCATGCAATCAATCTTTAAAACCTCTAACTTAATTTGGTACCACCAATGAAGAGATTTAGGTTTGATATAGAGACCTCCTATTTTTTATCCCACTAATTCTTTTCTATTGATCATACAAGCTGCAAAGAGTGCTGGAGTAGAATTGTCAAGAACAAGAACACAAAGGACATCTCACGATGAAGTGTGAAAATGCTTAAACCTTTGCATTATGTTCTCAAGTAGTTCTTGCTCTTCTACTAGAAAGAAAGCAACTAGAGTTGCACTTACTTCCATAATTGTAGTGATGATTTGCAATCCAACTATAAGGAGCTTTGTCTTGCCAATCCTTGCCATCATGGATAGCAAAGCCTTGCCATGATGTTTAGAAACCTTGCCAATCCTTGCCATGAATTTGTATTGATTATCTTGAAGTTATCTTGATTAGATGGAATTGTTACAATACAATATGATACTATATCACTTCTATTTTTTGACATATGCAAATTGAGTTTTCATCTTATCTATTTAGCTAGATTATTGCTAACTTTCCCATTATCAATAGGGTTCTTTAAAGTGCAATCTATAGCATATGTGATCATGGGATGAGATTTAGATATACTGTCACTGTAGATCCTTGGAACCTTGGGGGATAAATGGGGATAAAATAGCCACTAAGGGCTCTTTTATCAAGTAATTGCCCCTTTTTTAGTTGGCTTAAGGAGAGAGAAATAAAGTGTGCTATAGTTGGTATCGGAGCAAATGGCACAGGTTTGATTCCCATTAATTAATGGCTACTTAAAAATATAATATACCCTTGAGCAAGGTATATTCTTACCTCTAAATTTGAAATTGTACGAATTGGGCATCTATGCGTATGTCCTTCCTCTTGTCTGGAGTATCCACGGACGAAGGTATCTACTGTGGGACTGCAGTACGGGTGGATGATTAGTTGCCTCGCAACCAATATATTGGTCTATACAATAGAAGGATTGGTAGATTCAGTGCAGAAATGGAAGTGTTGATTCCCCTTGGCTCAGTAGGGGTTGTTAGTTAATAGTCAATAGTCAATGAGGACATTGACATCTTTAAAGGGGGGGTGAGTATAGCGTATGTGATCATGGGATGAAATTTAAATATACTGTCACCGTGGATCTTTATTGCCTCACATGGAATAGCTAATCTATACAATGGAAGGATTGGTAGATTCAGTGCAGAAATGGAGGTGTTGGTTTCCCTTGGCTTAGTAGGGGTTGTTAGTCAATAGTCAATGAGGACATTGACATCTCTAAAGGGGGGGGGTGAGTGTAGCGCATGTGATTATGGGATGAGATTTAAATATACTGTCACCGTAGATCCTTGGCTCAGTAGGGGCTGGTTCCCCTTGGCTCAGTAGGGGTTGTTAGTCAATAGTCAATGAGGACATTGACATCTCTAAGGGGGGGGTGAGTGTAGCGCATGTGATCATGGGATGAGATTTAGATATACTGTCCATGTGGATCCCCTTTGGGGGGATAAATAGGGATAAAATAGCCATTAAGGGCTCTCTCATCAAGCAATTGAAGTTTTTTTTGGATTTGTGAATTATTCACAATACACCCCTTTTCCAGTTGGCTTAAGGGGAGAGAGATAAGGTGCGCTACAAATCACAATTTTTAAAATCAAAAGTGTTATTTTGGATGTGATCAACATTTTTACGATTAGTCATTCCTAAATAATATAACTATTATAATAAAATATAAAATTTATCATTCACCTTTTGAAGTATTTTAATTGCTATGTAAAATGGCTAATTATATTAACTTGAGGCTATAATGCTAAATTGCGTTGATTATTTTATAGTTTTAAATAAAATACTTTGTTCTTTTAACTCATCAATATGTACATAGGATGTGGTGAAAAAAATATAGTCAATACCCATAAATATATTAATAAAAAATCACTTAATTTATTATTATAATATCATACTAATATCCTATTATTATTTGTATTAACTTCTTAACTACCAGTTTTATGTTCTTCAATAACCCTCCTAAACACTAGGGTTCAATTCTTTTATTAACAAGCTTTTTATCTTATTACAGAAAATATAAATAGAAAATAGAAAATTCCTTTAATTTTTTAATCTCTGAATTTAGTAGTATTTAGGCTTTTTCCTTTATAATGAGAATCTATGATAATTGTTGGAAGTTTGGTGTGCTTATGTTTGCCTTCGACTTACCATATTTGAAAAGCTTTGGAAGTATTATAATTTTCCAAAATAAAATAAACAATAGTAATTTTTTCAAGAAAAAATCCAAGTTATTTCCTTGTATTTTGTTTCTAAATTTTATTTTATAAATTTCTTTTGATGAATTTGTTTTGAGAAGTAGCAAAAGACACACACTAAACTAATACTGGCTAGTTTCAATAGATTGGGAAATTAATCCTTGTACAATTTTATATATCTTATAAATCCTAAATTTTTTAATCTACAGTTGCAATCTTAAAAATCAAAATTAATCCCAGATTTTGTTTACAATCTCCCTCCCCTTGCAAAAGCACTTTATTCCTTTTGTCTTCATTACAAATTTTGCACCATACTTTGCCTTCTTCAATACATCATTTTAGCTAAGATTAACTTATTAATCAACTATCTTGAGATGCATTTTGAATTTTTTTCACCCTATTTTTCTTCTTGGTTATCTCATCACCTTCACTTATTATAAACACAACAATTTTCTCCTTATTTCCAGCTTCTTTATTCTTGATTGCAATTGGGATTGATTTTGTAATAATCTTACTCCCTCACCCTTGCAAAATCACTTTATTTTTTTTGTCTTTGTCACAAATTTTACACCATATTTTGCCTTCTTCAATACATCATTCTAGCCAAGGTTAGAACATTAACCAGCTATCTAGACATGTATTTTGGGTTTTTTTCAGCCTCTTTTTCTCCTTGGTTACCGTCACCTATTATAAATACAACAATTTTCTCCTTATGCTTCTTTATGCTATAGATCAATAGATTACCTTACATGCTAGTTTTCTACTTCCTAGACACCTCATTTTGGCAGTGGTTGTTTAGCCGTTAGAGTGTTAATAAAAAAACATTCAAGATTTGGAAATATTCTTAAAAAATTCTATAAATAAAATTCCAATTATATTTAATCAAGATCCAAAACTTATATTAATATAACCAGAAAGTATATTCAAGAATCTCCTATTACTTTTTCTTTAACCAGGTACTTCTTTGACTTTGGAACTTTATTTTTAGAAGGAGCTTATACATCTACTTTTCTTATTAAAATTTCTACTTTTCCATCATACCAATAACTAATGTAATAGTGAGTGTGTTGATATTTTAAATTTTAGACTGATACTTAAGATCTAAGGAAGTTTTTTGTTTTAAAGGTGCTCACTAATTTGGTTGATATCTTTGAGAAATTTTCTATATGAAATTTTTTTACTAGAAAAACATGCATATAACCTCCTTAATAGTGATAATTGACTCCATTGATTCCTAAGCCCATCCCAAGCATATCATTATCCTCATCAAGTGAAAATGTTTTGAGTCAATGATAGAGATCACAAATTGCTAAAGAGTCACAGTTCATCCATAGTATACATTGCATATTGTTTATCTAGAGTTATGCAGCCTATCAATTTTAGTCTACTCACCTCTTTAAAAGATGTAATATTTTCAATTAAGATTTGATGAACACAACTCATTCCATGAGTATTGGCTTTTGTGGGGAAACATAATCCAGAGCATCTTTAAAGCTTCACATTTACTTATTGAGACTCATCAGCTCTAGAAAGGAGGATCTAGCTGCTCCTGTCACTCTTGTCGCTATGCATTTGCTCTGGAAACCATATGTCTATACTGGTTTGAAATTATAAAGAAAACAAAAAATCTTTTAGAGTCTTGAAAAAGAAACTCAAGACTAATGACAAAATCCCTGTAGAGAAACAAAAAGCATAATGGCAAAAACAAAAAGATAAACCTTTTCACTTTGAAGATCTTGATGTTATGGCACCTTAAGAAGACACCCTACCATTCTAGAGGAAAGTACCTCAAAGCCAAGGCAGGGATAATTGATAATTTAGAGAGGTCTCGTGAGAAACATAAAATGGTCCAATCCCTAACTGGCTTGTAACCAGATAGATTTGGTGTTAGTGTAAAAGAAAGATAAGGAAAGAAATGATGTTGTGATTATGTGTGCCTATGCAGCACAACGGCAATTTCCTCATATGACCAAGAAATTTTTCTAATAAAATGTCTTCAAGAATACAATTCTTCTAGCTAGTGCACATTCTCTTATTTCCTTCTCTCCTTGGATTTTCAGCCTGCTGCCAACCACACGTACAAATCTGTGAGAACGAAAACTCGTAAAGGGTTTTAAATGGTCGTTGAATATGGTGGATGGATCTTAACTAAACCAGAACTTTAGTTAGGTTAATTTTTCTTCTTCCCGGATTAGGTTTTAATTCTTTGTTGAGGAATCCTGTCTTCCTCTCGATCGAACGAATTGCGATGCATGCGCTGCTCGGCCGCATTCTCAGCGCCCCGCCGGAGCAGCTCCTCTTCCTGGTCTTCGCACTGCTGGGGACGTACTGCGCGATCAAAGCCGGGATCCAATTCGCCACCGCGATCTGGATCGTCTTGCTCCGGCCGGGCAAGAATCTCCATCGCTACGGGAGCTGGGCGGTGGTGACGGGTGCGAGCGATGGAATCGGCAGGGCGGTTTGCTTCCAGCTCGCGGCGCGCGGCATCAATGTGGTGGCAGTGGGGCGCACGGAATCCAAGCTGGAGGAGCTCGTGAGGGACATCCAGCGGATCTACAGTGGCGTGCTTGTGAAATTCGTGGTGCTGGACTTCGCGAGCGAGAAATTGGAGGCGGGATTGAAGAGCATTGGCGAGGTTGTGGAGGGATTGGAAGTGGGGATTCTCGTCAACAACGTCGGGGTGAGCTATCCCTACGCCAGGTACTTCCACGAGGTGGACGGGGATCTACTGGAGAGATTGGTGCGCGTGAATGTGGTGGCTACCACTCGGATGAGCCAGCTCCTTGTTCCTCAGATGCTCAAGCGGAGAAAGGGAGCCATTGTCAACATTGGCTCTGGATCTGGAACGATTCTTCCATCGGATCCACTCTACGCCATCTATGCCGCGACGAAAGGGTGAGTGCCTTCTTCTTCTAGCTTCCTTTCGTGTTCTTCCAACATTGAATTTTCCTTCTTCGTGTTCTCTCTCACTCATACATGATTGAGGCTGGCGAATTTTCCTTCATTGCCTGAAAGATTGTATCGCTTTCTTCCTCGGTGCTCTTTTCTTGCTCTCGTGTTGCCACGCGCATTTTTCTTTTCCGCCACACATCTCTGTGCATTTGTCTGAAAGATCCCATTGTTTATCGGCGACTTCACTTTTTCTTTTTATCAATGTTGCCTGTCTAAAGTTTGATATTCTTTCGTTCTCGGTTCTGAGGGGCCAGAGGGAATAATTTTCATGCTCCACCACCTCCACCGCATTGATTAACAGTGAAAAGTTTTGTATCCTCTTCTCGCTTCCCAGGTACATAGAAATCCTGTCTCGATCCATGTACAACGAGTACAGGCATTGTGGGATCGACGTCCAGTGTCAGGTACGAGGAAAAAAAAGAAGAAAAAGATTCCAGGCTTGAGTTTTCTTTGCATTTCCAGGTTCCTCTCTACGTGAAGACGAAGATGGCCAAGATAAGAAACACTTCCCTCACTGTCCCGTCCCCAGAGGCCTACGCAAAGTCGGCACTGAGAAGCATTGGCTACGAGGCGGTGGCCACGCCTTACTGGGCACACCATTTGCTATGGTGGCTCATCAGCCTCGTCCCCGAGAGGATCGTCTCCGCCATTCGCCTCAGCAGCAATCTCGATCTGCGACGAAGGGGCCAAGCCAAGGACGCCAAAGCCAAAGCGAATTGATTCCACGAAGTGACACAGCTTTAAACGTATTCTATCCACGGGTTTGATTGACTTTTGGAGCCCGTGACAAGTGAAAAAATAACAAGTTGGTGCCATGGGATGATGTGATTACATTTAATAACGACACATTGGCACGGTATTTTATTTTTTGGATCAAATCTATAATATTATTAAGAATTTTAAGAACATAATATTATTATTGAAGAATGTAGTGTAAGACTAGCAAAGATCAATAATTTTCCTATGCGGTCATGCCATACAGGTTGGAAAGAAGTACATAAGCCGAGGAGTCCTTGGAGTTGAGGCCCAGAACCGATTTGGCGGCTTTGGCACCGTGTTGGAGGCTGCTGTGGCTTCTACACGCTCCAAGGAAGCACCTCCATTCGAATGGATCCGGCACAAAAGGCATGTTTGCGAGGAGATCTTGCGCGTCGCTGAGCCGGGCAGCTCGGCCCAGAAGATCAACCACGCAGCAGTAGTGCTGCTTGGTGGGTTCCAGTCCGTAATCCACGATCATGGACGCGAAGCACGACTTGCCGAGGTAGAGCTTCCCGGCGTGATTGCATGCGAGCAGTGCCAGGACGAAGCAAGTCTCGTCCGGCGAATCCACCGTCTTCATCGTGTAGAAGGCGTCAAAGACATTTGCGGAGCATCCGGTCTGCGTGTAGAGTGTCATCATTGCCCCCCACGACGCGACATTCTGTGTCGGCATCCTGTCAAAGATCTTCTTGGCGTGGCTGATGTTTCCTGCCTGGGAGCACACCGACAGCATCGCCGTGTAGGAGAATGTGTCGTGCTCCGGCATGGCGTGGAACATTCTCACGGCCTCCTCCAGATGCCCGTTCTGGGCATATGCATTGAGCATAGCGTTTCTACATACGAGATTCTGGTCTGGCATTTCGTCAAAGATCTTCTTTGCGTGCTCAAGATGCCTGTTTTGCGTGTACGCGGCGAGCATCGCAGTAGAGACTATGAGATTCTTTTCTGGTATGGACTGAAAGATAGCTTCCGCAAGATGAAGCTGCCCGCTTTGGGCATATGTGGAGAGCATCGCGGTCGAGGCTACAACATCTCTTTCCGGCATTTCGTTGAACATCCTCTCGGCATCTGAATATTTTCCCGCTTCGGCATATGCGGTCAGCAATGCCGTTGACGAGACTAAGTCCCGCTGAGGCATGCTGAAGAAGATTCTCTTGGCATCGTCGAGATGCCCGTTCATGGTATATGCGGCAAGCATTGCAGTTGTGGTGGCCAGGTTGCAGAAAGGCATTCTCTGATAAACTAGCCATGCCTTGGCAACATGACCCGTTTGAGCGTAAAGAGAGAGAATTGCCGTCGAAGACACCATGTCGTGGAATGGCATTCTCCCGAGAAAGATTCTTTCGGCACCTTCCAGATGCCCGTTTACGGCAAATGCCGTGACCATAGCTGTTGTTGAGACGAGATCTTGCTCCGGCATGGAATCAAACAATCGCTTTGCGGACTCAAGCTTTCCAGCGTCTGCATACGCATTGAGTATCTCAGTAGAAGATACCACATTGTGTTCTGGCATGCTTTTGAAGACCTGAATGGCTCTCTCGAGATACCCTGATTGGGTATATGCCGTTAGCAAGGTGTTCCACGTCATAAGATTCCTTTGCTCCATGCGCTCAAAGAGATTCCTGGAATCAAAAACATTTCCCTCTTGTGCGTAGGCACCAAGCATCGCGGTTGACGAGACAACGTCGTGCTCTGGCATGGAATCAAACACGAGTTTTGCTGCAAAAACATGCCCTGTTTGGGCAAATGCCGCAACCAGTGAAGTCCACGAAATCGTGTCCCGTGCTGGCATTTCCTCGAACAGCGCTTGCGCGTCTGTGAGAAACCCCTGTTGGGCGAATGCAACGATGATCTGGGTCCAAGAGAACAGATTCCTCGCGGGCATTCGATCGAAGATGCCCCTGGCGCTGTCCAATTGCCGGTTTTGAGTGTACGCCGTGAGCATGAAATCCCAGGAGAAGGAGTCCCTGGCATCGTCGTCGAGGGTGTTAAACACCTCCTCTGCCTGTGGGAGATTCCCGTGCTTGCCATGGAGCTTGAGGAGCCTGTTGGAGACGAATGCGTCCCAGCGGAGAATGTGGGCGGGGATTCGAGTGTGGATGTGTTTGGCGAGCGTGGAAGTGCCGCACGAATCGATGAGCTCAATGCATTGCCTTCTATCCAGGACATTGGCAATGGCCATGCCATCTAAAGCTCCAAGATTTGCCCTGGAAGATTATCATACGCCACAATCGCATTGTCTAGGCAAGCTCTGGAAGCTCTTGCGAGCCGCGATGATCGGTCTGTGAGCGCCTCAATCGCGTCTCCCCACATTCCCGCCCATCCTGGCTTGCTAAAACCCTAAGATTGCTTTAGGGTTTATTGGTGTGATGAGCTCGTGGCTATGGCGGGCATGATGCTCCTAGCGAAGAAGATCGGCGCCATTCCGGTGCTGAGCAAGGGCGCCGCGGCGGGAGCTCTCGGAATCTCCAAGCGCAATCTCTGCGCTGGCGGCGGCGGCGATGGGAGGTACATTCCCGGTATGTTTGTAGAGAATCAAGAAGGCAATCAGGAGAATCAGGCATGGCCTCCACCCACGCAAGAAGGCTTTGTGATGGACACGGGGACTCATCCACAAGCGCCACCGCCTCCTCATCCTCCTCCAACGCACGCCGGATTCGTCCAAAGCATGAGTCACTCGCACTCGAGCAATGGATTCGTGCCGGTGGTGACGCAGGGTGGATTCACGGATTACAGCTCTCCATACCAGCAGCAAGGATACTATCCTCCTCCTCCTCCTCCTCCACCACCTCCTCCTCCACAAGTTTCATACCCCTGGAACGCCCAAGCACAGCATCAACTCCATCACCACCAGCAGTATCCACCGCCGCCTGGAAGCGCTCACCCCCAGCACTACAATGTGGAACCGCAAGGATACTACCACGTCCAGCAATATAATGTGGAGCCACAGGTACTTTACAACGCTGCCCCTGTGCATCAACACTACGTCCCACCTCCTGACTATGGCTATACTTACTCACAGCAGAGTGTTCCGGCTCCTCCAGCTCCAGCTCCAGCGCCGGCATATGGTGGTCAGGATGTCAATGCAGCGGCCACTTGGTCTGATACTTCTGCTGTTCCCACTACTACTGCTTCTCAGCTGGTGGAAAGTCACGAGACGAGCGAGCGTGTAGAGGTACTTGGCTCGACAGAGGCTGAAACTTATGAGGCTTCGCAGGTTGGTGGATTGGAGATGAGTGCCGCAGCAGAGTTGCACGTTGAGGAGCAAAAGCAACACGAGGAGATGGAGCCGGAGGTGGTTGCTGTTCCTCCTGAATCACAACAGGTTGCTCCACCGCCGGCAGAGATGCATGAGGAGGTTCACGAGGAGGTGGCGAAAGCGGAAGCCGGTGAAGCTTTTGCTGAGGACAAAGGTGGTGAGGTGGAGATGGTTGCGGCTGTGCAAGAGCCCGAGGTGCAGGCGGAGGAGACTGGCACTGCCGAGCACGAGGCGGAGGGAGAGTCAGCGGCGGAGGAGTCACAAGAGTATGATGCGGCAGCGATGGCTATGGCTGAAGCAGGATTGCCGAGTGGCGGTGGCGTTGAGGAAAATGAAGAGGCTACCGAAGGGAGCAGTAGAGATGAAAGTGAGGCTGTGGTGGAGACTGTGGAGCATGTGGAGGAGCCTGTGAAGGGCCTGGAGTCGCTACTCGAAGTAGAGACGTCCAAGGCGCCAGCGCCACCTCCTGCCTCTCAGAACGAAAGCTTTCTGGAAATACTCTCCAAGACGAACACGAACGTGAACGCGCGACAGGTTCCCAGGCAAAGGCCACCGCAGCTGTCGTTTCGCGCTCAAAGTAAAGTTCCAGCTCTCGGTTTGATACGTCCATTCGCGCGCTAACTTAATTCCTTTACATGGCACCAGGAAAGACGTATGCCAAGCTACATAATCTTCCGAGGCAGATACTTAAAAACGATATCGTGAATTACTTCTCGGAGCTGAATTTGCAAAAGGAGAGCGTTCACATGACTTACGATGAAAAGTTTTATCCCCTCTACGCGTGAGTATCACTTCCTTTCGGTCGTTTCGGTTTTGACAGATTGTTTCCATAGCCATATTGCCTTCGATTCGACGGAAGCTTTAAAGAATGCTGTCAAGATCCTGCAGACCAAAGGCCGTTTGGGCGGACGGATTGTCAAGATGGAATCGGTAATATCATGCTTGCTGGAGCTAATTTGCTTCTTTGTTTTCGTGATGTAGTTTGTCCAGTTCATGCCACCTACACATCCACAGATGACCGAGCACTTGAACAAGTATCTCGGTCGAATGGTATGTCGACCATTGCTCATCCCTTGGCTTGCTAATCATCTTTTTCTCTTGGCAGCTGCTAATGCTCCACATCCCGCCTGAAGGGAGGATCGAAGACTTGGAGCGCTTTTTCGATGGATACGGCTTTGATCCATCTGCACTGTCCATGCTAGATGCGTAAGCTCTCGTTCCTTCACCTTCCAAAACCTTATCGTTTCGCTTGCTTTCAGAGTACAAATGACGCTTGCAAGGTTTCCAAAGGAGGGCAACAGGATGGTTCGCCGGGCAGCCATTGGTTTCTGCTCGAGCTTGGAAGCAATGAGAGCTCTCCGAGAGAAACAGGGAGACTTTGTCCTGAATGAGCCCATCGAGTTGAGGTTGATCCAGTAAACGTTCGAACTGGCTTCTCTTTCAGTCACCACTTCCAAAAAGAAACAACTGGTTTTCTCAAAGAAGGCCCTCACGGGAGAGTCGAAATAAAGACGAATGAACCTGCTTGGTGGCTGTGCGCTCAGCCGCTTACTTAATCTCTCCTGAGTAATTCTCTCATCCCGGAAATCTCCGTAGAGAAGTTTGTATTGTGTTGCTAGTTATATAGAATCAATATAAGACAATATATAAAACCTTTTTAGGTACTTAGTTGGAATTGAATTAAGCTCGAAGAAAGACGTCCCAACATTCGAAACAAAAACAAAGGACCAAAAAAAACTCTCTTATTTTCGTCCAAAACCTATCACCACCTTCTCGACGAGTAGCCGCTGCTTTGCTGCTGCTGGGGCTGCTGCTGCTGCTGCTGCGGTGGATTCCTCCTCGACGGTGGCTGATACTTACCAGGCTTTGGAGGCTCAGTCGTAGTCGGGGCCGGGGCTGGCGCTGGCAAATCTCTCCGCTCGGGCTCTCTCGGGTAGTCTCTCCCCGGGTTTCTCTCGGGCCCCGGATAATCTCTCCTCTCGTGGTCTCGGCTCCGCTCGTAGTCCCGGCTCCTCTCGTCCCGGAGATCTCTAGGTGGCGGTGGCTCCTTCTCCCTCCTGTCGTCGAAGCGCGACGAACGGGACGAGTCCAGTGCGCCGCTTCTGAATGGCTGAGACGAGCGCGGGAGCCCGAAAGACGACGAAGACGGTGGCGGCGCCCCTCCCTCTCTCCTTGTTGGGGTGAAGAGGCTCGACTTCTCGGTCAGGGCCTCGCGTTCCTTGCGGGCTTTCTCCTCCGCCTCCGCTTCTCGCTGCCGTTGCTTGGCGGCCATCTCGTCGAGTTTGGCCTTCCTCTCGGCCTCTTCCACCTTACGCCTTTCCTCCTCTGCAAGACAAGTTGTTAGATTCTTTCTTGCAACGAAGTAAATCACATACCTTGTCTCCTGCGAGCCTCCTCCTCTTCTCTCAGTCTCATGAGGCGCGCCTCCTCTTGGATGCGATAGTACTCCATCTTCCTTCGTCGTTCTCTCTCTTGCCTCCGCAGGGATCTCTCCTCTGCAATCCTTTCCTCTCGAATTCTCATCTGGCGTTCAAATTCACCTCTGCGGCGGCTCGAAACCTCGTTTTGAACATCCTCCTGCAAAAAGCTTTAAGTACAGCCGAACACAAAAATGCAGGCTCATTCACCTTATCTTGTTGCATTCTTAGCAGTCTTTCCTTCTCACGGAGGTCTTCGGAGTGTTGCAGCCTACTCTGCTCAACGGCCAGCTGCAAACACCACAGATTGATTTAGTTAAAGATCACAAATAAGCCCAGTACCTTCTGCTGCTCCTCGAAATAAATTCGATCATCTTCTTGGCGCTTCAAGTACATAGCTTGAATCAGAGGGCGCTCTTCTTCACGCTTTGCTCTTTCGTAATGATCCACTGTCTTCGCAAGTTTTTGGAGCCTACGGTCTAGCTCCTCGCGCTCCTTCTTTTGATCCAAGAGCACTTGCTGCATTATGGCCTCTTTCGTTTTCGGCTTATCCTGAGAAGAGCCACATCAATAACATATGGTAAGAAGTTCAGCCTCATCCTTACCAGGTCAGTCGGTTTCTTTTTGAGCCTTCCCTTCTGCTTGTCCAACAGAAGTTTCGCATCTTCAATCTCCTTCTCCTCAATTTCCCTCTTTACTCTTTCCTCCACCCTTTGCTCGGATTCCCGCTGCAACCTTAATCTTTCCTGGTCCTCGAGACTCTTTTGCTTCTGCTGTCTTCTGATTTCCTCCTCGCGTTCCTGAAATAACGCATAAGAATACTTCGAATGCCAAAAAACCACGCATACCGCTTCTAAAATTTGTTTCTCCTGGTCCTCCTTTCTCTTCTCAATGATCACTTTACGGGCCAAAAGTCGCTTATGGTCCTTTTCCACAATGGAAAGAAGCTCAGAGAAACGTTGTTCGGGTCTTTTAGTAGGTTGTTGCATGAGACCTATGGCCTTGTTAAGTCGCTTCGCCAAAATTGTAAGATGGTTTTTGATCTTTTCAGACTCTAGATCCTGCGTAAGTGTAAAGCCATGTTGGACACGGAAATCAAAGGATGTAAACATACCTGACTGCCAAAATGAACGACACCCTTCCCGTGATCAATTTTCATCTGAACGAAATTGTACTTTGCAGCATCTACAGCAAGCTTCTCAACCACAGTAAAGCTGTAGAAAGGTATCATGTTGCTGAGGTTTGTGATTCGCATCGTCTGATACACTTGCGAAACCTGCACACAGAGTATGAGATTGCCCACAAACTTGATTACGACAATACCTGCTGCAAAACTCTCAACGTAGTAAGGTTCTGCAATGCTGGAATAAACTCCTCAAGAAGAACTTCGGGAACTGGAGAAGCTGCTGAAAGCTTATCTCCAAGCTTAGGTAGCTTCGCGAGAAGAGGTTGCACTTTCGTGGCAAGATCCAGAGGGTGGAACTCGTTTTCTAACAAACAGTACAAGTCCTTCACCTCAGGCAGGACGTACGTCAACACTCCTTTGGATATCTGCTTAAAGAGACCGTTGGCAAGTGTGACGTGAATTCAGCTGATAACTTACCAGATCAGAGAGCAAAGCAGAGCGGGATAGCTGCATCAAGCACGGTTAGTTTCGACAAGAAAGACGAAAGAGCTTAGCACATAAACGAGCTTACCGCTTCGCGGTTGTCACGTTTAGGATCCAACGAGAACCCGAGAAGGTTAGCCATTCTCACGTTCCTGTCCTTCTCAATCTCGAGTTCGAAATGATGAGCTCCATGCTTTCTATCGTACGGTTGAACCGAAATTGTCGAGAGCAGGACGGATGAAGCCATCAGTTGCAGATCCTTCGGAGTGAGGTTCTTGTTGTAACTCTTTTGAAGATTATAGAGCTTATACCAAGCATAACCATGGTACAGATGGCTTTGAGAAACCCAGAAGATCTTTATCAATTTAGCATAGTAGATAGCCATCATCTGAGGTTTCGGAGATTTTTTAACCATCGACATTAGCCCATGAATGTCCTCTATCGTTCGAAATGCTTCCTGCATTCAAGCAGTTAGAAACTTGAACATTCGCTCTTCCGAAATTGAAGAAATACTAACCTGCCAGAGCTCGAGCTCCGTTGCAACTTTCAGCTGTTCTAGACGAGTATCGAGATAAAGCTGCAAACTCTCCGGAAGCGTCAAATCCGGCCTGTCTCTCTGGTCTCTGTACTTGTTGAGATTAGCCAGGTGATTCCTCAAGATCTCACAAAGGCGGCGAAACTCAGTAGTCCGCTTGTATTGCAAGCAGAACTGGAACGCACGGTGAGCAGTCATCTGCCAGACAATAACAGACCACCAGAAATCAGAACGAATGCAAATGAACAGGCATACTTACAGCGTACAAGCTCTCCAGCTTCGAATTGTTGCGAAGGATCTCCAGCACTGTCCTGTAAGTCTCCCACAAGAACTTAAACCACGGCGTGACGAGCTCTCTGTCGGATCTCTCCTTCCCCTTCTCACCGCTCACGTAGCTGAGCATCAGATCCTCCGGAGTCTTCTCAGCCTCAAGGTCCTCCACATCGAAAGTCACCACGGCAGCCTCCGCTTGGGCCTGGGCTTGCTCCGCCCGCTCGCTGGAAAGGTGCATAAAGTGCTTGATCACCTCTTCCAGAGAGCTCACGTTCACTTGCTGGCAAGCTATGCGGTACTGGATGAGACCATCCTTTGCAAATCGGCCGCGTCTCATGTCCACGCACAGCTCCACGTACTTGAACATAATCTTCTCCAGCGGCTTCTGCCACGCCCGATACCGCTTGGAGGTGATGAGATCGTGGAGAGCCTGGAGCGCAGCCGCCTTTTGCCCCACATTCATCAATTCTGGAGCAGCGATTGTCAATCCCCGAGCTGCGACACGAAATTTCACGAGAAGGACAGAGATTACCTTCCGCTCGCTTGAGAGCATTCTCTGGCTTGGCGAAGGTCGCCATGGCGCCGCGCCCCCGCTACGAAGAACACACCAGCAGCCTTACTAGGGCTCAAAACCCTTAGGGCAGGCGGGGTAATCCTACGGCTTAAAATTACTCCAATCTCAACCGACCGATAGAATTATTCACGAAATCGACGGCCGCGATCGGGCTCTACAGATGACTTGTTTGCAAGCCAGTTCCTCGTCGACGAGCCAAAGGCCCGCCGCTTCTAAGGCTTGCTTCGTCCCATTTTGCTCCCGAGAACTCTCCGGACGAAGCAAAATTCGAGCTCCTGCCGGCGCTGTCCAGTTCTTCGAGACCAAAGTCTCGGCGGGAGCTCCAATTTTGACGCTCCCGGCACCGCTCCACAGAGCCATCCCCAGCGAGAACTTTTTCTCGCGAAGTAACTCCTCCAGCGTCTTCATGAAGACTTTCGTCTTGTCGCAGCTCCTCGCGAAGAACAAGCCACTGTGGAAGCTCTTCCCGACTAGAACTGCCAGGATCTCTTCGTCCAAGCTCGTGTTGCTGCTTGACAGAGGATGACTGGGCCAAGTGACGTCGGGTCTCGCAAACCAGACGCTGTATCCCATTGCTATAATGTGCTGCATCGCTCGGATCGAATAGATTGTACCGTGATCATCTTCTTTCTCTTCGTCTCCTCCCGGTGTTTCGTCAGTCAGCAACACAGGATGGCCTCGTCTCGCAAGCTCACTCGAAGTGTTGTAGTCTCGTCCCAGCAGGAGATAATTCTTCGTCCTCAAAACAGCCATTTGACACAGCCAGTTCCTGACCAGTTCATCGTCCACACCAACGCTGTTAACCAGGATAACTTCATTCTCCGAGTGAATATCCGAGAGTAGCGCTTCCAGGTGTTTGAAGCCATTGAGAAGCCTGTTCCGGAAAACCTGGTGGAAGCAGTAGTCGTACCATTTGAGCGTTGATAATGCCGGTATTTCCCACATGTCGATATCAGGAGTCCCGTGTCTCTTGATCAGTTTGGAGTCCGGTCCAGCATCCTTGTGATAATTGACACCTCGAGTCCGGTGGGAAACGCTTAACGCTCTTCCTCTGAGAAAGTTTGTGTAAACGTTGAAATAGCCATGAGAGTGGACGAACTTCAGAAACCAGGGCGTCCATATGTTGTTGCCGAGTTTCTTGTACCAGTCTGTCGTAACCATCCCGTCTATAATTGGCTCGATCTCTTTGGTTTTGTGCTCGTCAAACCACTGCCGAAATTCCCTCCAGGGTTTTGGGAAGAGGATCTGTCCCCATGTTCCAACAAGCTGGTAAAGAAACAAACGGGTGCTGTTGTCCAGCGCAATACGATTTCCTCCTTTACCTGCATCTTAAGTTAGCAACCAGATCGAGGTGACAATAAACGGACTTACCTGGAACAAACCTCGGCCTCTGAAGTGTAATGCCGAAAATGGAAGGATCAAAATTTGCGGGATCGTAGTAATACTTAGCAATGACGCTGCGCACGTATCGGTAGTACAACGGAGACAACTGCATGTCGTCCTCGACGACAAGAGCAAACTGGTGATCGGATGAAGGCCACCACGCTTCCAGCCACTGAACTTGAAGACCAACGTTTTGCGTTCGATAGTGCACCTGCTTAGAACCGTGCGGCCACTTGAATCTGTCCAGAAAATTCAACAACTGCCGAGCCTGCTGTAAATTCCTTTCTACGGGATCGCTGCTTAGCTCTATCTCTTCTGGCTCGATCTCAGCTTCATCTTGCATGTTGATCACCCCGACCTCAGTGCTATTAACGCTTGCTGGACCATAGTCCTCGATGTTGTCAGCTTGAGACAACAATCTTCGGCTAGACGCGTTTGCTGCTGCTGCTGCTGCTACAGGCTTGAAGTGGTCGAGATGCACAACAAGATTGACTGTGTCACTGCCGTAGTCTGCAATGGCCAGAGACCTCAAACATCTTCGTAGCGAGTCATATCTGTCGTACGCGAGAACCTGGATGACAAACTCAAACTTCTTGCTCACAACATTCCTGTCCTCCTCTTCTTGACTCGGTGGTGCGAAGCTAAGCCAGTCGAGAACCGCCGTAACCGGGAGGCTTCTTCGAAGAACGGGTCTTCCAGCCCCATGGAAAGTGAGACTAGCAAAGGTGCCGATGGAGATGAGTCCAAGGAGTAGGATGCAGGTCTTCCGCTGGCACAGCTGAAGGACCTGCTGAAGAGACCAGTGCTTCCGCCTGCCTCTCATCTCTCACCACCGGGAGAACCGAGCTCACTATTAATCCTACATTCCTTCTACTCCAGCTAGCGTACCTGTCAACACCCAATGTTCCATTCGCGCTCAAAAACTTTGCTGGAGCCCTAGTGCCCTGAGATCTGTTTGCTTTAGCACGCTCGCCACGTGGAAAGTGTCCTGTTTTTAATTTTTCCCCTTCTATCAAGAGCGCGTTAGTCGACCAAAATTATCTCTGTTCCACTTTCCTGATTTTTGGTGTGAGCCACAGTTGTAGGTGAAGCATGCCCCTTCTTCGTGGACGCAGCTGGAGAGCAAATCCTGTGCTTCTGACCACGCCTTGTCAAAACAGCCTGTTCCTGATGCCAGAACGTTGCGTTGTCGAGCTAGCCGGCCCCTCTTTGACACAGGTGTCCACAGCTCCCAAGTTCCAGCGGCATGTTCGTTGACAAGATATGAGTGACCCGGTTGTTGGAACGATAGAATGATCCTCAGAAAAAGGATGATCGCGTGGATCACGGCTCCAAGAACTGCAATGGAAGCCAGGTGCCAGGACTTGAGAACCTGATAGCCGAAGAGCATGCAGCATGCGCAGCTTAGTTCTTCTTCGTCTTCTTGTTCTTCTTCTGAAGAAACAAGCAATGAATCCCGTAAAGATAAGGTGAAATTTTCACCTGTACCAACAAAACGCATTGTTGTAGCCATTCAAGTGCTTCAACCGAGAAAATTACCAGAATCGTATGAGTTTGGGCATGTTGGCTCGTCCCTTGGAAGACAGAGATCCAGTCGTTGGAACTGTGATTGCAAAGCAACTACTGGTAAAAGCCTTCTGGGACTCTCGTGTTCGTCCACTGACAAAGAACAAGAAACTGAAAACTGAAAACTCGAAGTGCCAAGGCGATCAAGCAAACCTGTCTGGGACGAACATTTTTCTGGAGCTGGTCCCGTAAGAACAGCATCCGCATGGTAACCCCCAGAATCTAAGGTAACAGTGAAGATGCAAGTGAATAAAAAGAAGAAAAACTATACGTGAAGCACCTACCATCTACGACGAATACCCGCCACCATAAAATCGGAGCTTGTTGATCAGTCGAGACATCTATCTTAACAATTCCCTGAGACCCAAGAAAGGGCTCCAATGGAACCTTGAGAACATAGAAATTGCTCGCCAATAAGCTCCTCCACACCTAGTATTATAGAAACGATGAAAAGAACCTGTCGACGTAGAAAGAAAAACTACCTGATCACGAATGGACACCGAGATCTGTAGCGGGCACAAATCACTGCTGAAGTTCTCGAGCTTGATGTCTACATGCCTGGAAATCAAGATCACAAGCTGATTCACGGGAGAAGAAGCGCCGAGCGTACCCGAAGACGGCGAATCCGGCTCGAGCTCTCGATGCCACGGCGCCATCGAGCCCCGTGAATGCGACGAAGAGGAGGACGAAATAACCTAAGGCGGACATTCCCGCCATAGCTTGCCCTTTGAAATGAAGGGCAATCGGACGGCTATAATGCTCCCATTCAACGATAGATTCGTTTCTTTCATCTTGTTGGGGCTTGCGCGAAGGCGACGACGACCATGGCGCCTGCCAGACCAGGGTAAGCTCTCGCGATTCTACTGCTAGATCTTGCTCGATCGTTCTAGATAGTCTCTTCTTGCGGAGTTGCCCTAAGATTCTTGGAAATCCAGGAAACCCGTGAGAAGAAATATCGAGACTAACCTCATTGAGATGGATTTGGACGATGACGATGAGGAAGATCCCAACATTGGCGAAGACATGCTTCTAAGTCCAGTGAGTGCTCGCCGGAGAAATTTTCTTTTAGCTCTTTGTTTGAAGTTGCTCTACACAGGAGGAGATCAAGATCTTAGGCGATAGAGGATTTGACACCGTCGTAGAACGGCTTAAAGTGCAACTCAGTAAGGTTTGCTTTTGCGCTTGCCAAAGAACTTGGCAACTTTTCTTTGCTCCTTTCGTTTTTGCTTTCTTCTTTCTTCCGAGAACTTAAATTTTGCCGTTGATTTTTTGCAGCTGCCAAAACTTCGAGAATCGAGCACTTGAAAGACGTGATCGCGCAGCTCGAGAGTGACGTTGAAAAGGCCAGGAAGCTCATTCCCAAACAAGACATATCAAAGAGCGTGCTGCTAGACAAGGAGCGTTCGCGGTGGCGTATACGGAAACTGCAAGGCGAGGTCACTACACTGAGCTCACAAGTCCGCTACTTCAAGGGTGAGAATGAGAAGCAGCAAGCGGAGGAACACGGTAACGAACAGCGGGTATGAAAACTTTTTCCTCGCTCACAAACTTTGGCGAAGCTAAAACAAATCAAGGAAAATGTTATGTGCAGATCGAGCACCTGCACGAGGAGCTCGATAAAGAACGAGATCGCGTCCAGAAGATGTCCATCGAGCTCGCAGCTTGTAGAAGAAGGGAGGCGGAGCACAGGAACCTCTTAGTGGAGGTGAAAACGTTGCGAGCCGAGAAGAACAGGCAAGAACACGAGCGCCGGAGCACCGCTTACATTCTCAAAGTCAACAAAATGCAACGGGCAGAACACATGAGGCTCTTCCGACGAGAAGTACCAGGCCTCAACGATCTCAGCGATACTTTTCCATATGGAAAGCGTGTTCGTCGAAAGGTGACACTGGCGAGACCGAGCTCCGCGGCGTCGGGAAAGAGAAAGATTTCGATCGCAAGAACAGTCGATGGTTAGTGTTCTCGAGAGTCTTCCACGGCACTTGCTTATCCACAGCTCTTGCAGGCTCTTCCATTGAATCTTTACGAGAACAGCAGGAGAAACAAGCAAGACCCGAGGTATAGCAATTTTTTTGTCTCTCTCTTCGCGTGAAAATTACCAATGATCAGCTGCAGTTGCCATGCCCGTTGCTTCTCCCGAGACAAATCGACAGCATGTCTGCCTCAAAGAAATCCCATGCAACGCGACCTCTTGCGTTGCTCATTCCGAAATGCGGCATACAAATCAAGCAGGTGCCTGTGTTGATCACAAGGAGGAGGAGCTCAGTGAAATTCTCCCGAGAGGAAAATCCAAAGCTCACAGTGCTTCTCCCGGGAAAAGTCGCGAAAGAGCTTAGACAGCCAGAGCTTGTATCCTACGACACGGTCTTCAGCCGGCAAGCAGGGAACAGGGATCAGACCATTAAGCTGCTGCTTCCAAGGCAATCAAAACAGAGCCAGTTCCAGGAAGAACAGAACGAAGAGCTTAGGCCCGACGTCCAACCGTGTGATCAACCGACGCGAGCTCTGATTGAGAAGTACGAGAGGGACGAACTGGAGACGAAACAGGAGATGAAGCAGCTGCGAATGAACCTCGGAATGAAAATGCAGACGATAAAAAACATGAGCACTCAGCTGGCCAAGAGGGACGAGGAAATCAAGGCATTACAGGCACTAGCAGGCTCGCTGCTTCCAAGGCCAAGCACTCCCGATCCAAACGACGAAAGCGACGAAGAAGAGCGGGACTACAATCAGCACTACATAAAGCAGCTGCAAATGGACTCGTCCCTCAAAGCCCAGGTTATCAAAAACTTGACCCTCCAACTCCAGAGGAGGGACGAAGAACTCAAGCAGTTCCAGAGCTCTGAAGGCGTGTCAATGCCGAGAGCGTTCAGAGACTCGTCCCAAAGCAACAACGCCCAGCAAGTGATAAAACAGCTCCAAGTGGAGCTGGGGATCAAACTGGACGCGATAAGAAACTTGAACGACCAACTCGACAAGAGGGACCACGAGATCAGCCTCCTCCACAGGCAGCTCGAAGTAACAAACGAGAAGAAAAAGACCTGGAATGTCTGGGAGAACAGATGTTACGAGGAACCAGTGAAACAGACTCCAGCAAGCGCAAACTCGCTTGACCTTCGGAAAAGGATTGTAGAGCTCGAGATGGACTTGAGAGCCGCCAGAACCGAAGCCGACAAGCTCAGAGCCGCCGCTGATCCAGAGTTTCTTGAAGAAATCGAGCGCGTCAGGACGGAAAACCAAGAACTTAATCAGGTACCTGGTTTTTGGCTCGACTTCTTTAGCTGACGCTTGCTTTTATCGATGGATTGCTTCCCAGTTGTGTCAGCGCTATGAGAAGATGCTGCATTCTTACTGTGGCCAACTCGGCGTCCTGTTCAAACCTCTCAGGAGCGAAGGACTGAGGTGAGCTCACGCTCCCTTATCTTAGTATAGCAAACATATTGTTTTGAGAATCCATCCTAGCTGACTTTGAGAGAGCTTACTGTGTCACCTCCACGCCACTCTCTGGAGACATATCCCTCCCTGTTTCGTCATCGTCCTCGTCCTCGTCCTCGTACTCCTCTGCTCTTCTAACAAACTGTCCCTTGACCCGGGGCCTCTGCTCAGCCAAACGCTTGCGACTTGCATATCTGATCTTCTTCTCGTAGCACCTGTCCTTCCGCTTTTGCCTGAACTTGTGTAGCGCTGCCTCTCTCCGCTCCGCTACGCCAGCTTTTCTCTCAAGTCCAACTTGAGGCAACGCTGCGGCGTTCCAAGGGACCTGTTGCGATGGTATGTGCAGAGGAAAAGGATAGTACGAGAACGCTGCTGCCGGGATGGGAGTAGCCTCTGGCGGCGGCACAGCTTGATAGTAGTGTATCGGTGGCTGTAGCAGCGTCGAGGGGTGGATCGAGTGCGGCACCATGAGCGGCGGGATGATGTGAGCCTGGTTGAAGACGCCGGTAGCAGCGTGAGCAGCAGCGGCAGCAGCAGCACGGGGGTCGTTTATCTGTAACACCTGGTATTGTTCCGCTGCTCCAGTCGTGGAGGAGCTACTCCATGGTATTGAATGCTGGTGGTGGTGGTGGTGGCTTTGCTCTGGATCATCATCGGGTTCCTGCGTTTGAGTTAACTCAGCCGCTTGGTTTCCTCTTGCTCCGACCTGGCCTGGTTCTTCTAAGTCTAGAGGCTGCTGCGATGTTCCTACAGGCACTTCCATGCACGTAGGGGGCTGTGTCGTCGAATCGGGTTTTTCAGCGTTCGTTGTCCTGCTGACGACCCTTGTGTAGCTCAAGAATGCGGAAGATTGGCCCAGTTTCAGTTCGCTCTTCCTTGGAGGAGACGGTCTTCTTTCTGGAAGAGAAAAGCTATAAGGCTTTTTGAAAGAAAGATGGTAGCCACACTTGCAAACTCACCTGGTTCACCAATCTCTGTTGTTCTTGTGGAATCTTTGGACTTCGGCGTCAGTGACAATTCTAGCTCGGGTGCCTGCCATACTTCGAACGTTAAGCTTTTTTCCCAGAAGAAATAGTCAGAAAACAACTAACCTGTTCTTCTTCTTCGGAGATTGGTTTAAGCTTCTTGACTTTGTTGTCGTTGCTATCCTCCGAAAAGATGTCAGTGCTGAAAGTGTTCGACTCACTCGTATCCGAGACAAAAATCTCGGCTATGGTATTTCTGCTCGACAAGTGTCCCTTGAGTATGTGTTTTTCTGTGAGTCCTAGCTGCGAAAAGAGAGAAGAAAACAAAACATGCTTCTTTCTAAGACCAAAAAAACTACCATTCGTCTTCTTCGCCACATATGAGTCCACAGATTGAGCAACTCATTTATTCGCAAAGGCTTCACCAGATAGTCGGCCGCCCCAAGTTTCAAGCACTTGACAACCACGGCCATCTCATCACGCGCAGACATCACTGCAAAGAAAAACTCGCTCCATCAAAAACAACTCCAAGGAAGAAAGATCGTTTCATCTAAGCACAAAAGAAGATTTACTTACTGACGATTGGAATGTGCTTGAAATTCTCCGACTTCACAATATGTTTGAGCATCTTAAATCCTCTACCATTTGGCAGCTCCACCTCGGAGAGCACCAAATCCACCTTAGAATCAGTGATATTTAGCACCTCCACGACTTGTCTAGCAGTCTTTACAACGGAAACTACAAAAGGGAAAACAATTGCCAAACGAGATCAAACTTTCGCACAGATCACTACATACCTTGATATGAACAGCGGCACAGCAGCTCTTTCACCTCTTGCGCGGTGGCTGAATCCTTATCACACAGAAGAATGCGTACTCGGCTTCTATCAAACCCGATCTTTCCCTCGCCCTCCATCCTCTTATCGGCCACCGCTACACGCGAGGATTTCTACCGCATTTGTGCTGAATGCGAAGATTCATCCTCCACAGAGAGAATGCGGTCGAATTGAAGCCCTAAGCTCGATTCACACATACCGATCGCGAGCGCCGTGGGAGGAACCCTACTCTCTTTCTCCCCCGGCCATGGCAAATTAAACTAGAAAGAGAGAGGGAGATATTTTTCTTTACCTCTGGTGAAAACCGTGGTAACTGGCTTTGCGGCTGTTCCATATTGCGCCACGTCACCACACTGTAAAAGAGCAAAGTGAATGCCACCTCGAGGCCAATAGTGATTGTCCACGTGGTGGCGAGGCGATATCTTGTGGGTGGCGCAAACGTGGACGATGTATCTCCACCGCACTTTCAACCCAGCGGCCTGGATCTCGCGCTCTTAAAGTTTAAAAGGGTCTACGAGAATATTCTAGAATCTCTTTCAGCGCTCGAGAAATTTGGGAGCTCATTTGGCGATGGAGCTCCGGAGCTGCCGATCGAGCGTCAATCCTTCGTTGCCAAGGCCGCAATGGGAGGCGCAAGTGAGGTAACATCAATGTCCGGCATTCTTGCTCGATCGAGCGCTTGCTTGCCTGTATACCCTAAGCAGCAATCGTGTCGATTCCCAGGGATGTATGCAGGGCGCTGGTGAGCGGATGGTCGGATCTGGGAGATGACGATCTTGCGATCTCTGAAATCTCTGGCGGCATCACGAATTTGCGTAAGAAAAAATACGATGAACTTGCTAGCGAGCAAGGTTAAAGTTTGTTTTTCTAGTGCTAAAGGTCTTGGACAAGAAACAGAATGAAGCTGTTACAGTGCGAATTTTTGGTCCCAACACCGACGCTGTCATCGACCGGAAGCGCGAGCTCCAGGTGTCAAGCTGAGAGTGTCTCCATCTCCATCCACGTTTTGATCTATGGAGCTAAGTTTGCTGTATGTTGTAGGTGCTGCCACATCTTTCGGAATCAGATTTTGGAGCAAAGCTCGTGGGATTGTTTGAGAATGGCATGATACAGTCCTTCATTGAAGCACGGACACTCGTTCCAGTAGGTGTGATTTATGTCGAGTACTTCTTTTTTGCCTTGATTGTCACTTTTTCTTCTCCTTAGCAGACTTGTCCAAGCCAAACGTAGCCTCGCTTATTGCAAAGGAGCTGCGAAGGCTACATTCGTTGCAGATACCCGGATCGAAGGAGCCTCAACTTTGGGAGGATATTCTCAAGTTTTATGACAAAGGTATCTCTTCTTCTTCTCTTTCCTTTTTACCTTCATACATTACAACGTTTGGCAGCAAGGCTGGTATCATTTGAGGATAATGCAAAACAGGAGAGGTTAGGGGAAGTGTCATTTTCGCGACTGATGGACGACATAAAAATGCTGAAGGTGGAGTTCCTATCGTGATTGACACATCCTAAGTTTGTATTACATGATGCAGGGCATCAGCGACTCCTTGAAAGCGCCGATCGTATTTTCTCACAACGATCTTTTATCAGGCAATATCATGCTCAATGAAGCTAGCGGTATATATATCTCTTCACATTTCGGAAGCCTTTCTAACTCGGTACTTTCAGGCCGGCTCCATCTCATTGATTTTGAGTATGGTTCTTACAGCTACCGAGGCTATGATATTGGAAATCACTTCAACGAGTATGCCGGCTTTGAATGCGACTATTCCTTGTAAGCCATCTTACTCTCTCATGTTTAAACTCAAAAGTTTGCCAGGTACCCGAACAAGGAGGCACAGTACCACTTCTTCAGGCACTACTTGTCTCCTATAGATCCATCGAAGGTGCGTGTGTGTACTACAGTTTGCTGGACAACAATGTTGTTTCTCTGTAGGTCTCCGACGACGAACTTGAAGTTTTGTTTGTAGAGACGAATTTCTATGCGCTCGTTTCTCATCTGTATTGGGCGATATGGGCCATTGTCCAGGTAAAAACAAAGTTGAGCAGTAAATGGCATGTGACATCTGTATTTGCAGGCAAAGTTCTCACCAATCAACTTCGACTACCTTGGATATCATTGCCTGAGGTACAAAGAGTACGAGAGACGCAAGAAAGAACTCGCCGTGTTCTCGATCGTCAACATCTGCAAGCAATAAGTAGTCCCTAGGTACAAGTAGGCATTGCTATTTGTCATAGTTTCTCCCTCTTGCAAGTAAAGGATCTTAGGCTGTCCCATTTGCGTCCATTGGATTGAAAACGCCGTCTTGCAGAAGAGAGAATGGCCCTGACGAGGATTGGAGGTCCAGCAACAGCAGCAATGCCATCGCTACCACAAGTTCGAGCAGTGTCCAATGAATTGTGCTCGTGGAAGTTTTTGGTGGGTAAGAGGGCAATCATTACGAGCAGCAAGAGCAGGCTACTAGAAGTTCGCCGTGGAGGATTGCGTTCTTCTCGACGGCTCCGCTGTACTGGAGAGAATTCTGATCCTTCGACCCCAAGTAGCCAGGTTTGTTCCAAGTCTTAGTTTTTTGGTTTTTTGGTTTTAATCCCAGTTTCCTCTTTTGTAGAATGGTGAAGCTCAACCAAGCCCTCCTCCATCAAAACCTCCTCCAAGTCCTAGTCCCCCTCCAGTTCCAAGTAAGACTGGAAATCGTATCGTAGCTCTTGTTTCTGCTGCTGCTGCAGTGTGCTTATTTTTGGCCAACAGAGGCGCTGGGGTCGGCCCAAACTTGAGCGAGCTCTCAGCAAAAGCGATGCCATACGAAGAGGTATCCATCTCGTCTCATCAAGATTCGTTTCGTTACAGGCCTAACTTTTCTTCTTCACCTGCAGGCGATTCACAATGGCAAGCCTACTGTCGTCGAGTTCTACGCAGACTGGTGTGAGGTGTGCCGTGAGATGGCTCGCGATGTCTACTCGGTGGAAGAGAAGTACAGGTAATTCTTGCGTGACAACTCTGGCTTTTGCTGATATGTTTATGCGGAATGGAGCAGAGACCGCGTGAACTTTGTGATGCTGAATGTGGACAACAGTAAATGGGAGGCAGAGCTAGACGAATTTGGCGTGGAAGGCATCCCACACTTTGCATTCTTGGATGGGAAGGGCAATGAGGAAGGCAACATAGTGGGCAGGCTACCAAAGAAGTATTTTGCTGAAAATGTGGATGCACTTGCAAAGGGACAGGAGACGATTCCACACTCCAAGGCTGTAGGCCAGTTCTCCAATGCCGAGATGCGTCAGTCTCCACGGATGGCTTCACCTCGGACACATGGATGACAAGGCCCAAGGAATGGCTAGTATATTTTAGTATATGTTTGTTACTCATGCTCTGATTGGTGCTTCATCTTTGTGAACATTGATTATTAGTTATTTTTTTTGAGAACCTCATGTATAAATTAAGTTCCTTGACTTAGAAATGTATTATAAAACAGTAATAGATATAATGAAAAACTAGTAATGGGATTATGGCAATTAATATGTGATTACACTAAGGAGCATTATATATTTATACATGGCATGAAATATAGAAATGATAATTAACCCAAAAACCCTAACTTATAGGATTAAAACCAATTTAACAACTATCAGAATCCTATACCAAGAATGGAAAACAGTCAAAGTTCTCTAATAGACAAGTTAGGATCTGGAAGAACATTAAAAAGAGGTAGTAGTAGATTTATAAATGGTGTTAATTATTTTTAATCCCTTTATATAAAGTGTTTAAACCACTGCACATGCATAATTTATGGAGGATCAACATATTAGATGTGATATCAAATCTCATAAACTTGCAACATTCAATATGGTTTCTTCCATTTAACAAGTAGCCTTTTAGACAAATAACATACCATAAAATTGAGAAAACAAACTAACATTAAGTCATCCATTTTGTGTGAAGATAAATTTAACTTTGTTAATAGTATTGGATCATGACCATATAAAATTTTATATGGTGAAGTATTAATAAAACTCTAGACCCCTGTGATATATGCATACTGAAAAGACAGTAAATAACTATCCTAAGGAGGATCATTATCCAAAAAAATTCACTCTATACAAGAATGTTAAAAACACCATTGTATTGAGGAAAAAGTATCTAATAATAATTGCAAACATACTAACAAGAGCATCAACTTCCACCCAATGAGTCAAATAGTCAAAAATAATAATGATATGCTCTTTGCCAATAATCAACCATAGAAAAAGCCCTATTAGATCAAATGCTACCAACTCAAATAAACAGGAAATTGTGATTGACTCTAACCATCTTTCCATGACATAAAGGGGAGTATTACAAATTTTGCACTAAACGTAGCTACATATATACTAAATAATATCACATTACATCTTCAGCCAATAGAAACATCTGTATAGCTTCTCAATCACTTTCTATTAATATCTAAGAACCATGTAGATATACATTAAGTTTCTCAAGTTGCTGCTAAACACTTCTCCTTTTTGAAGTCATTCATCTGTGTTAGTTGTAATATACAATTGATATATACAATAGGATGGTGCTGATTAGGCATACTCGGGCTCTATTGTATCAACATACCTCCAATATTAAAAGTATCTATACCCAAAATGAAAGGTTGAGTATAGTCAGGATATGCCAAAACTGAAAGAGTTGTCAACAACTCTTTGAGATTTATAAACACTCGCTCATAATCCACAAACAAAATAAAAAACAATATTGACAATTTCAACAATGCTTGCAATAGTGCAATATTATTAAAAAGATGATGAATAAAATGTCTGAGATATTACACCTTGCATAAGAAGCACTACACATTATTCACACACTTTGCAGTAAGAAACTTGAGAACAACTACAAGTTTGTTAGGATTAATTTGTAAACCTTCATAAGAAATACGATATCCTAAATAAGTCATGTTTTTTTACACAAATACACACTAGATTAAAAGTGAGAAATATAAAAAAGTATGAGACAAAAGGGAAAAGCCTCAAAATCATATTTGGCATGATTGCATCACAACCAAACTATATTAAGGATGAGGTTAAAAGCTTGACTCGACACTACCCCCAACGATTGTAGCTCAAGTTTGAGATTGCCTATGCACAACTAAATCCACCTCATTCTATGTGTATGGCTGTTACCATAAAGAATGAAAACTAGTTCTATTACATAATGCAAATATAGATAGCAACATATACCAACAAGCCAAGTAATAAAAGATAAACTTAAGCCTATATATCAACTAATACAAAGAGAATAATAATAGACCTCTTATTATAAAAACAAGCTTAAAAAGTAAACACTAGATGAACTAGTGCCGAGTGGTGATACTCTTGAAATTAAGATGGATGGGTCACCAACTTATCCACTACTTGCATGACTCTTTATTTCCTAAAAACATCTTAGTATCTAGACTTTCCACTGCAGTAACACCAATAAGATATTGTTGTTACCAAAGTTTCAACTCAGGAAATGGAGGTTACCAATCTAGAAAATGCTATCAACACTGATAAGTGTAACTAACTTTATCACATGCCTAACAACAGACATCATGGCCATGACCACATCCTTCACCTTTGTTCTTGAACTTGGCCAGCAGCAGCATCAACCTCCATTAAAACAAGACTATATTCTACTAAAAGCAAAGGTAAAGGACGTGCCGCAAGAAATGGAAAAGACAATGTTTTATAACGTTATGTCAAGCAAAAAGCATCATAAAAGTGGTTGAAGTAAGTATATGCATAAATCTTGCAAAATTTTGACAAAGTGTTAACCACAACATTCCCAACTTAATTTGCTCCGACATATTTGGCTCCACATTAAGCAAGAGGCTTGGAAACAAATGCTAAATTGCATCATTGACTTAGATGGCCCTTAATGAAGACAATACAATTATTGAAAGGTATTATCATATGTCTAAATACAATGTTCTATACCACTCAGCCTTTGCACTTGGTCTAAGTGCTCCATATATCCAATTCCATGATAAACACCACAAAGGTATCATGGACAAATAAGCTCGTTATGATAATGGTATGTCCATTTACCCTTGTCTCATTAATAGTCCAACACCACCTATGTGTAAGCGACTAAATTTTCCATTCTACTTTAGTCACTTAACCACACCTCTGACCGCTTGGAGGAGTCTCATTCACAACCTCCATAAGTCCAATCCAGGACTTGGGATTTGCTAGCCCCGAGAATGGCATCCATGCCACTCCACATTTGCACTTGGTCCAAGTGCTCCACGTGTCCGATCCCATGACCGACACTCAAAGGTACCACCGACATAGCAGCCCGTTACGCTAAGGCCATGCCCAATCACCTTTGCCACACTAGTAGTCCAATACCACTTGCATCACAGTCTTGGCTCTCCAAGACTAGGCAAACCATCCGTGAGTGGTCATCTCAGATCCACTCCTTAGCATCCTTAGGATGCCCACCGACAAGGGGAATAGCCTTCCCCAATATCCCTCTGTCAGTCCCCACTAAGTCCCTTTCTGCCCCTGGCCGTGTTTGCCAACACTGCCACTGGATCAAGACCCACAGGCCCGACCACTAAGTCCCACGGTCCTCTGGGACTTCCTCACCACACGACTGTGTCCTTGGTCACTGCCCCAGAGGAATGTTCCTCTTCCTTTCCACAGTCTGGGCCTTTGGGACAACATTTCGGAACACCGTGGCCTTACGCGAGCCACCTGGGTACTCTCCTCGCCTTTCGCCTTTAGGTGCTCTAGCCATGGGCTTAGAGCGGGTTCCGTTGAGCCACACCAGGTATCCAAGTAGGTAGTGCCACCCACACTTGGACTGGGAGCATCGGCCAGTCGATCTCCCGGGGGAACTAGAGCCGGCTCTTGAACACTTCACCAAGCTACCCCGCTTGTCGGTCCGTGTTCACTCTAGTCTTGGACTTCCCAGTGGGCAGCTCATCACCCAACACTGGGTCCGGCCTTCCTGGGCCAAACTGGCCTTTCCTGGCCAAACTGGCTCCACTGCAGTCCTCCCCCTACTATACTTTTGGAGCTCACCAAACCCCCCAGGGTCTGGGAGACGAACGCTTTGGGCTTTCACCCTCTCAGGCTCCGGACTCGGACTCGGACTCGGACTCGGACTCGGACTCGGACTCGGACTCGGGCTCGGCCTCGGTCTCGGCCTCGGCCTCGGTCTCGTCTCGGTCCCGATCTCGGTCTCGGTCTTGGTCTCGGTCTCGATCCTGGTCTCGGTCTCGACTTCGGACTCCATCTCGGACTCCATCTCGGACTCCATCTCGGGTCCATCTCGGGTCCATCTCGGACTCCATCTCGGACTCCATCTCGGGTCCATCTCGGACTCCATCTCGGACTCCATCTCGGGTCCATCTCGGGTCCATCTCGGACTCCATCTCGGACTCCATCTCGGGTCCATCTCGGACTCCATCTCGGGTCCATCTCGGGTCCATCTCGGACTCCATCTCGGACTCCATCTCAGATCCATCTCGGACTCCATCTCGGACTCCCTCTCGGGTCCATCTCGGACTCCATCTCGGGTCCATCTCGGACTCCATCTCGGACTCCATTTTGGGTCCATCTCGGGTCCACCTCGGACTCCATCTCGGACTCCATCTCGGACTCCATCTCGGGTCCATCTCGGACTCCACTTCGGACTCCAACTCGGGTCCCTTTTTGGAGCCTCGCCTTTTGCTCGCTTCGTGCTCGTTCCTCGAGCACTTCGTTGGGAGTTCCACTCCCGCTCTTGACTTTTCAAGTCGGAGCTTTTGGTCCAAACGTGTTACGCTCGTTTGGCTCTCGCTTCGGCCACTACCATGTGGCACCCTTCCAGCTCCACTTTGGGGCCTAGGGATTTTGTGTCTCACAACTCCACCACCCATAGACGAAGTTCGATGTCCTCATCGAACGGTAAACCATTTTGTAAAGTAACACTCGCGTGTGTTACCATTTCCATCCTTGGCACCTAGCCAATATTTGTCAATGGTTTGACATTGAAGGCTCACCATGCCTTCTCCATATTCGTCAATGGTTTAACATTGAAGGCTCACCATGCCTTTTGCATAGGCCTCCATGGTTTGACACCAAAGGCTCACCATGCCTTGCCTATCCTCTAAGGAGGGTAGTCTCTCCAACTTAGAGATTGATTGGACCACATGTAGTGGTTCTCTCCTTTTATTGGTTTAGTCCTCGCTAAACCTCTTAGAGACCCTTCTCTAAGTCAATCCCACTACTCCTTCTCGAGTAGTCTCGATTTCCATCGATATAACCTTTGCACTTTGGAACTTTGAATTTTGACTTCTTGGAGTCAATTTCCTAGGTGTCTCCGACACCTTGCCTTGCACCTTTTGTGCAACTCCACTTCCCATCCTAGGAAGTTCTCTACTCGAGGGCACCATCATCCTCTCTTCTATTTCGTGCCAAAGTTCCAGTTATCATACTTTGTGCTAG